GGCAAAATAGTCCCACCCTCCTCATCAACACCTAAACTTGTCAAATTATTATAATCGGGCAGAAATTTATTTGGGGTGATCAGGTGCATCTGCCAAGAAAGCACCCACATCTTCAAGACTTCAGTATTTATCATAGTGTTAAAAACTCAGTGTTTGATATCTACAACATCTGAGAGCATCCTTAAAAATAAGGGGTTAAATAAAATAAAGGATTCAGTCATGCGTTTAAGTGCTTATRTGCCCAAACATGTTTATTATTTTAGCTGATAAAAACCCAATAGAAAACAATCTCTATTATCTTTTGCAACTATTATTTACGAAACTGTTATGAGTATCAAGGTAATATTTCCTAATGGGAAATAATGTAATAATTAACTCTACTGAAGCCTCCTCGGTTTATACCAATACACTCACCATCACCTGGGCACTTGTGCCATCAAGGTTATTCCTCATACGATACTAATCTATCTGGTGCAGAACAAAACAGAAACAAAACCAATCATTTTTAGGCAAAGAAGAATCAAATAAAGCAATTTATAAAAATGTATTCCTAAAGGAGGAGAAATGGCTAAGCATTATGAATCATTATTAGCAACTGTAACGTTAAGGACAAAGGCAATTTAGAAATAATCCATCAACTGATCAAGAGTCTTGTTTCCCCTCCCTTATATAAAGGGCAGCCCTACCCTGAAATTCATTCACCAAAACCTTATAAATAGTATTTTTGCTCCTGGAAAAAATGTATTAAAGTCTTTTAAATGTGATTCCCGATAAAACATATCATGATAAACTATATTTTCATTGGAGATTGTGAAGAGGAAATGAAACTCACCAGCAACCTATTACGATAAGGAAAGATGCAGCCATTTCATACAAATGTTCTTGTAGGAAATTTCGTAACATTTCCAAAAAACAAAACAAAACAAAACAAAAACAAAAAACMGAGTTCAAAATATCATCTTTGTAACTCTTTATAGGGGTCCAGGCGGTGTTGGCCATGAGAAGCACGCTATCAACGCGTCAATGATTAAGTGCCACAACAAAAGAAATACCTGAAAAATGCTCAGATTGAGAGATACGCTGCTAACAACAAAATCTGGGATGGTCATTTTCAAACAACCTGTGGAAATGTTGTACTCAGAGAGAACATGGATACATTCTTCCATATGGATCTTGAGATGGGAAGGTAACACCTATGCCAAGAACCGAATGAAAGCCAGTGAAAGACTAAATACACAACTCTCTCCTCTTTAACATTTGAAGTAGAGCACAGGTTGACTTTAGAGCTGCAGTGATATATGAAGGGAAGCTTGTATACTCTCTTTCTTCTCCTCCAAGCAAATTAAAACAGTATAAAACCCTGACAACTGCCASCTCTGTGCAGACAAGGCCACATCTTGGCAAGTCTTCTCTGCTTTCCCAATCCTTCCAGTCCCAGAGACATGGGAGGAAGGAAAATATTCACCATTAATCTCCAGCACACCTACTTCTTCACATCCACATCTCAAATGCATTTCTATCACCCCAAAGAACACGGCTAYAGCAGTATCAAACAGCTGGAGACCTCACTTTTGATAAGGATGGAAAGGAGAAGGAGTTAGAAGAGGGTTAAAAATGCTGGTTGTAAAGTAATTATAACTCTATAGAAACTACTGGTGTTCCCATATGCCAAGGCAGACCAGCATTTCCGCAGCCACTAAAAGAAGTACTGTAAATTATCCAAATGATGCACTAAAAAGCTTAAGCTTAAAATCTACTAATCCCTTTAGACTCAGCCTCTAACAACGCTGCAAGAGAAACTGCAGCTTCTTTTGACAGGAGCAATACATCATTCCCTCAAGCCGGGTATCTTGCTGCAAAGACATACGTAAGAAACCAAATCTGTCCCAGGCGGTTCAGAGCACTGTGATACAGGAGCTTGTGATTATTCTTCAGAAGAACTTTCTCATTTAAAAATCCCATCAGTTTTAAAGTTAAATCCAAAGATAAAGTGGGCACTCTGAGATATTAGAGGCTTTTCACTAGCCGTTCTGGACACTGTAGTACCTTTCATGTTATTCTAGAGGCTAGTTAAGCTCATTGCTTGAAGTACAAAAGCTTTTGGAGATAGACGTCTAGGGCTAAACTTAAAGCTTTAAACACATTTCAAAAGGAAGATTCATTCCAAACAGCCTTAGCAGTCAGCCTTTTCAATGGGAACTACTTGCAAAGACATATCTAAAATAAATTACTTCATCTGTCTGTGCCAGTGAAAGCCATTTGGAAAAAAAATCCTAGTACATCAGCTTGTTTTATTCACAGAAAGCGGCAATTTCTACTTTGGCCTTGGTAAAACTGCAAATGACACTGAATGCCTTAACTTCTTCATCCTGGAAGCAGGAGGAAAAATGTAGATATAAAATACTGAACTTGTTTATTTGGACAGTAGATGAGAGCAGCGATACATTTATTGACTTGCTGCTCCACTAATTAACGTACTGCTTTCAACCTTAGATTTTCCCCCCAAGAGATGGAGTTGTTTAAAGYAGTCTTCAAAAAGTGACTTCTCAGAGATGCTACCGTAAAACAAAGCAAACACCCTGTTTGGTCATTTCTGGTTTTTGACTGGGACCGTTTCCGTGAGSAATTTGGGACCCACCTTCTGACATTTCCAAGCTCTGCACAACACAACATGAAAAAAAAAAATCCTGGACTACAGAACACAGGAGCCCAGTTAGTAGTTATGGAGAAAAAGGGAGAGGAGGAGAGGAGCATTAAGTCATGGTAGAAGACCAGACCTTACAAGAGACTCTCCATAGTGGGGTTGGCTTCTTGCTCCTTGCAAAATTTGGGTCTAGAACATAAAAGCAGAGAGGTTTTCCTTCCCTTCTCACCTATTTCTGGCCACTGAGAGGAATAGGATGTTGGGACATAAACAGATATTCCTGTGTTTCAGTGGACAACCACCTATTATTACTTATTTAAAAAACATAGCAGCAAACCTACTCATGCTGCATGCACCCAATGATGATTTACCAGAACACACTACCCCCTGTTTCAGAGATGGACTTTAAGGGGAATATGTTTTGAATTCCAGGTAACTCTATTCCTTGGAATAAGTATGAAAATGTTATTCATATCCAATACAGTTCAAATGAACCATGTAAGACAGTTTTTTCCCCCTCCCTCTGACGCATTTTAATCATATCCTTGGTATATTAACATCAAAATGAAAACCTCTCCTTATGTGCTGGCAAGACCATTTGTAATTAATTACATCTCTGTGTTTTTACGTTGGCCTTTCTACTTAGAGTTTTGCAGTTCCCAAGAACTAAACGCATGCTCTTTAATTAAAAAGCACAAAACCTTTTCATTGCATGCTGTAGTACATTTATACTGTGACAAGGGGGAGTATAATGGAGCTTAAGGAGGCTGCACGCCCAGGTAGAGCAACGTGGGGACACTGCAACATTGCAGAGGGGCAGTGGGCACCGCCGGAGCTCTTGAAACCTGGGTTCAAGTCTGTGCTCCGGGACACAGGGACCTTGACCAAGTAGCTTCTGGAAGTAAAAAATGATAAAGAAAGGAAGGCCCCCATTTTGGTCACGCTTTATAACTGTATTTCAAGCATTTCAGTACCCCTAAACCTCCATATTTTCTTTTATACTGATCTAAAAAGGAAATACCGATAGCATTCTGAGAAAGGAGGCAGCAAATGAGGACACGAAAGGCATCCCGTTATTTCTTTCCCCTTGACATTCCTAGGCAGCACTGACCCAAACGCGCAAGCAAAGCAGGATCTAGTTTGGACTAGCTGATCTCCAGAGGTCCCTTCCAACCTTGAACATTCTGTGATTCTGTGATCTCAGCCGTTGCAAGAAAGGCAGATAAGCCATTTGGGTGCTATTTGTTTTGTCTTTACTTAGTTCATACAACCCCAAGCCTCTTATTCCTTTGCAGGGGAGAGGGAGGGAGAGAGAAGGTGCTTGTTTTGAAGCCCTTGCAGCCACCTGGGGCTAATGCAAAGCAAAGCCTCCACACACCCACAAGCAATTGGGGGCATAAGTAAGTTAGTGCTGGAGCTTTGCAGCTCAGAACTTGGAAAGATGAAATAATTCTCCTTTATTAAAAGACAAGCACCCTCTACACACACATCTTCACATTTAGGAGACTGGGCTCTGAATGTATTCAGCAGAGAAGAAACTACAGCCCTCCTCATTTAGCTGCTCTCTTTTCCTTCCTCTCAATCTTCATCCTTAGCTTATACATTTCTTTTTCTCYCTGAGTTCCTGCCTCTCTAGCCTGCCTTTCTTATTTATTCAGCCAAGGAGTATCAGCCATTTATACAGTTCCAATTTCCTGAAAAGAAATAGACTTAAGGCAAAACCTAAAGGCACATTTAGACCTAAGTAAGAAATGTAGAGTTTAWTCTGATAAATTAGGCCTTGGATGCAAGCGCTGTTGGTGTTTCACCATGGTGTATTTTTTGCAATTGTCTTTTCCAAATCAATAGCTATACAGCGCCTCAAGATCCAGGTTTGTGGTGTTTTGGGCCCAAATAATCTCCCTGTGGTAGTTATAAAGCATGTGCCATGCTGCCGGTTTCTCACAGAGGTATTTAAGGATGCTTGTGGGAGCGTCTGAATGCCAAGGCTTCTTCAAATATGCATTTATTTCCATTTTTACATACATTTAGGTCCAACAAGAAATGTTCCTGTAAACAATATATTCCTCATGCAAATAGTCACATACAGTTTTAAGTACTGTAGATTAATTTAATCTAAAAATAGATTTTAAATGCTTGTGTTGTGGTATTTTTACCTGCTATTGCCTTTTAACGTAGGCTGTTTGACTCCTTTGCTGACAGGCAGCGTGCAGTCAATGTCACTTAAGTCTTATTTTGAACACTTAAGTACCAGGAAACCGTAGACTGGTCTTTCAAAGATGTGAAAGCAAATAAGGAGAGCAACATTTTTCTTCACTTTGTTCCTTGATTCCCTGAAGATGGAGCATCTTGATGCTCTTCAAGAAACTTGCCATGTGCTGCACTGGGAGAAGAAAAGAAAAAACGGGCATAATTAAAGAAGACATCTATTGTCCCAACTTTTGACAGAAGCATCTTTGATAAATAATTCATCTCAGAAATACTGAGAAGCATGAGTGAGATGGCAAATGAGGTGCTCCTGTTCAGCATGCAGGTCTTCCTGGAAGTGCAGCTGACCTCCTGTGAGCTCAAAATAGCCTGGAGTGGGTAAAGAGAAACTCATTTTAACACATTTGTCAAGGAACCTGTCAAGCTAGGTGTGTGCTATAATGATTAGGTACTTGCATTCTCATGCCCGACACTATTATGCAATTCCTGAAGAATAAGGTGGCCTCCCCTAATGGATTCAGGAAAGAGAAAGCCTCAGCCTGAACTCACCCATTGCACCCAAAAAGGAAGACAACGCATTAATACGAGTTTGCACAGCATGTGCCCTTGATGCAGTGACAACTATCCATGCAATGACAAACTACATGACATCACACTGTTTAGACCTCAGGGAGCATCCTGCCAATTTTTGGTCTATCATTTATTTTTAGAGGCTGTAATGTATGCGCTTCAGCGAAGTTTCACTACCAAACAATTTTCTGTCTTTGGTTTTGAATAGTTTGATTTAAAGGGTTTTGTTGGGCCTCTTTTCAGGAGAAATATCTGAAAGGATCAGGAGTCGAAGGAGCTGAAATGTCCAACAACAGGATGCTTTTGCTTTCTCCCAGGTGCTCCTATACGCACCGACTGTAACATCTTCTCATAGATTCAGCAAGCAAGAATGAACTTGGAAAATCATACATTTTACAGTCTAAATAGAAACCAAGCTTTGCAAAGTAGGGCTCTTAAGGGAAATTCTGGATATGGAAACATGGACTAAATATGTGTACAAATATAATCTACAACTTATATGTATATTTACTGCTTCAGATCAGATTAACCTGATAAGAAAATCAGTGTATTAACGATCACATAGTAAAATCCCTTTCAAAGACTTCTTTTACTCAAGCTCAGCTCAAGTATATTCAACAAGGAAATTATCTTCTTTAATCCATTCATATAAATAATTTTCTTATGTGGAAAGGAAAATAACTCTGTGCTGAGGCTCCCACATGGTCTGAAATTGGTAAATTCAGAACAGCAATAGGGCAGTTCATCAAGAAAGGTGAGACAAATATAAATACAGATCCGTGAGTCCGGCCCATGGTCAGGTATTTCTTGCTCACAGTCTGGGACCCTGAAAAAACAGTTTTCACAGTTTTGTTTTTCCGTCTGCGTATTACGGAGGTCAATTACATTTCATTTCGAGCATTTCCCCATCTACTTGCTGGCCATCACTCACTTAACATAAATATTGATTTTTTTTTTGTCTCAGTTTATCAGAGCTCAACCGAGAGACTACTAAAACGTCYAGCTGCCTCTGCCAAGGCAAATTCCACGTGGATCCTGTTAGAAACCCGTTACTTTGCTAAAAGAGAAATATTTTTTTAACTGTTTGTTCTTTCCTTCCACCTTTCTGACAAAAGGAAAATCAAGAACAGTATCACACTTGCCTGAACCCACTGTCCAAAAGCAAGTGCAGGGTTGCTTAAGATCACTCCCAAGAAGATTTAATTAGGATACGTTTTGGGTTGCCAGACCGACATAAAAGAGACAAGAGAGGAAGGCAACTGCTCAGCCCTGCACAGAAGACGTTATACACACGCCTGAGTGTCAGAGCAGCGTTTAAAGACCCAAGTGATAATGCTGCTCTCCACAAAATACCTTGTGCAGCTCGTCTTCTCTCAATCCCGCGGATCAATGTGCGCGTGATTCCAACAGCAGKCTCATTTGGCTGGCCATCTACATCTAGAGATAACCACTCTGAAAAGAAGCAGGAAATATGTTTGTCCGCGATAAATTAAACGAGCAAAGTCCACCTTTATTATGATCATGATGAGACTGCAGTTTTATATAGTTTTCATGCTGGTGAAAGAAGATTCAAATTAAAATGAAATTATTTTATGAAGAAACATACTCCTCTGCCCTTACAAGATTGCCCAATAAGCCGAACAACTGAATGCTGTGGACATTGTTGAGCAAATAATTGCTTCCTCCGGCAAATGTTATATTTTGACTCCTATACAATGCAACACAATTTGATTTTATAATGTGTTCTTACAGAAGTACCTCGCTATTCACACCAGTTAGAGCATGCCCAAGCACCCTACTGTGGAATTTCCTTAAGACAGAGAATGGGACCTTATAAGGGACCCTTTTGGCTGGTTACTGGCTGGCTGTCACTGTGGCACCGCTGGTGCCAGTACCACTAGCACCTTGCTGGTAAGTGCACACTGAAGCCAAGGACACTGTGGGCATGAGCAGTTACAAAAATACAAATTCTACCAAGCAACTGCTGTTGTCATTGCAAAGATGCTTCTGGTTCCTGGATAAAAGTGGTCAGGGGATTGGGATGGTCTTGGCTTCATTCTTCCCTTTTTTCTCTCCCGCTTCTGCCCCTTCCATTCCCTCCTCTCCTCTATTTGTTTTTCCTTGCTTGATGCTTTTTTTCTGAAACGAARCTAAACTAAAACTGGCTGAAAAAGCAAAGCTCTGATTTTTGGCCACCTCCACAGAACGGCCAGCTCCACATCTTGAACCGTTGCCTCTCCAAGGGGCGCCGAGGGCAGAGGGGCTGTAACAAGACACTCCACGCCACGACTGCACGTTGATGCTGTTTCCTCGAGGGATGTGAGGACACGTTAGGGGACCATTAACCCGCCTGTCACTTCCTGCATTTATCTCAGTCAAGCTGACAAGAGGACTGTGCAAATGTGACTTTGGGCAACTCGAACTGCCCGACACATCAGGCAATTGGTACTGAAAAGAGGGACTGAAATGACACAGACACATGTTGGAAGACATGGCTCTGGCTGGAGGAGATCTAAATAAAAGGTTGGTCACATCTCCTAAGCAACTTGGCACARAACTCCAAAGTTTGCTCAGATTTTCTGACATTAGCCTTCATGTATTATATAGAGCTTAGACAGTCCCACGCATCAGGAAAAAAGAAAAAAACCCTCTATGCTTTAATCATAAAAAATAGACATATCTTGTCATCAACAGGTATTTCTGAAAGTACTGCCTGTGCTTTTCACGGAGAGTTTTGAGAAGTAATTACATTAGAGAACAATGTTCTGATAATAACACTGCTCTTGTCTTAGCCAAAATTTCCATTAACCTGAATTCTGCTGGATTGAGGACTGTAAATCTAGTTAAGCACAACTGTATCAGAATCATCCTTAAAAAGATGGGGCCGACCATTTGTGTGTGTGTTTTCACTTACCTCCTCTTTAAGAGATAATAGGAATCTACCCTATAACTTGATCTCAAAAGATGTGACAACTGCTGCTACAACATTACCATTTTCTCTCCATATCTAAATAAAAGCATAAAAATCCAAATCTATGTATAGACTGTAGCAGCCCAAAGGAAATACGGATCAAATCTCTCTCTTCAAACCTTTCCCCCTTCTTTCCTCTCTTTTATCCCTCTGATTCACTAAAGGGCACATGGAATGCAAAATTTTTTTCCCTTCTAATAGACTTTGGCCCATTAAAACATTGTCCCTCTTGCAATATAAATAACCAGTAGCTACAGATCAGCTTCGCGGAGTTGAAGAAAACAGAGCATTTCCTTGAGCTCAGAAGAACTCCAGGGAATATCTATTACAATGCTGGAGCTCAGGATATAAGTGTAGAAATAATTAGCAATTAGATTTAACATATAGAAGAGCTGGAAACTGGTTACAGGCTAAAGACTGAAAAAAAAAAAAGTTTCATATTGCGTGGTTCTCATTCCTTCTCTTTTCCAAATGTCATCGTGGTGCTGATGCAGGCACTGGAGCTATACTCAATTCCAGAACACTTCCAGATACATGGAGGGAAAAGACACCAGTTGCTGAAGAAATACCAACCAGAAGCTAGAGATATAAACTGAAAGTCACAGTGTGCACAAAGATGCTTCTTTTGGGATGCATTTTTCCCCTCCACAGCCTCTACACAACACCTCTCAGGGCTCCACAGCTCCCCCTCTCTGTATTTTAGGCTTTTTCCTTTTATTCTAAASACTAAAACGTTTCCTGTGTTAATTTTGTTGCCAGAATAACGTTTCAGCACGGTCAGTTTTCCAAGATTCAGGAATACAAGTGGGCGCCCAAACACCAGGACTAGCGTAAAAAATATTACTATTTTTAAACAACTCCATCACCCAGGGATAAAGGAGCAGCCACTGTATTKACCCCGTTCCCCCACAAGTAATCTTTCCCCACAGCAGATGTGACAATTTCCTGCCAAAGTAAGTCCACCCCACAACTAGCCATCAAAAACCATAATGATTTTTCTTGCTATTAGCAGTTAATAATTACCAACATGTGCGTGATCTCTGTTGACAGGCGAGGAGCTGCCACCTCCGCAGTGCCCGGGATGCGCATCCCTTCCTGCAAAGCACCAAGGAGCCTTTTCCCCAATTGCTGCTCCGCAGACATTCAAGGGAAAGGCGGTTGGACTGCACGGACAGGGCCTTTTGTGGTGGATTTATTTGATTAACCTCAGATCCACTGAAGCCCCTTTTCTCTGGCGGTGCCCACAGGCATCTCTGAATTGGCATCAGCACCCTTAAGTCACAAAGGACTCAGGTTAGCGACTCTTCTCTTGGTGTGAGTTGGGAACAGCAGTTGCTTTCTGCTTACAACGACTTGCAGCTTTCTTAGAAACCTGTATATTCTGATATTGGGAATATGCTGATATTCTGTATATTCTGATAGTGCTTCATAAGTATCACAGTATCAAGTTCAACGTTTTATCCAAAGCCCTATAAATACTCTATCAAAGCTGGACCACTGAACATCAAGCTCTAGCCTTTCAGCCTCATGAGCCTTTGGAAAAAGAAATAGTTTGGGTTTTTTTTTTTTTTATCTCTTTGCAATGGGGTTGTGGCATTTTCCACTGAGAAATCCCAGAGATGGTTATTTTCAGATAAAACCACCACAAAGAACTCAAAAAAAAAATGCATGCTTTGTAAATACCTACCTATCTCCTCCTCTCTGGAATGAGCATTTAACAAGGCTGCATTTATGTTTTCCATCATTTCCATCAAATAAACCATTTTTTCCCTTCTTTGCCCTGTATTTTTGCCCTGTGTAAGAGGCTTCTCAGTTCCCCTCCCGCCCGACTCCTTCTCTTTAAAAGCCACAGCCCCAATCTTGCAGATTCTCCCCTATTAATTCTTTATACCGCATCTGTCCATAGGAAACGCAGGCAACGACACCTCAGCAAACGCTCCGCGTTGCTTATGGCAGTAAGAGCTCCAGGAAGTTTGTGTCAACTGTTCCCAAGTGGCAAAAATCAGCCAGCCTCATAGTTTTCAATATTATACTGCTTTGGGATTTGGTGCAGTAGAAATACATTTTAAAGTTACATAAGATTAATTTTTTATGCCACTGAAGTGAACTGGCTTTGTAATTAAATTTGTTTCCAGTTGCCTTTTTTATTATATGATATGCTACTTAGAGAAAGTTGAAGTATTTAAAAGTATTATAATGGGGTATGTAATTTTATAATTTAAAAAATTATTTTCTAGGACAACCATAGTCTTATAATTTGCTGGTAATTAGGCAAAAATGTTTCATAATCAAGAGAACCTGAGACAGGAGGAATCCTCTGTCTCCTGAATTTTACTCTGCTGACAGAAAGAGAATTCATTAATGTAGAAATAATATCCGTAAGAATAGATATGTCTCTATCACTTCTGACTCGAGCAGTGAATATCACATGAATTCAGTAATATTAAAAGAACAGACGATGTGACGGCTACATTATGCATGAACCCGGTGTAGTTTTCTCCTCCAGACTTTGTGAGCTTACCTGTGCTTTTTTCATTCATTTTACAGCAGAGATCAGAGCACAGAACATTCCCTTGGCAGGAGAGTTAAAGTGGATAAAAATATATGAAGGATATTGGGCGGGAGGAAGGAAGGAGGGAGGGTTTCACTCAATCAATGATCGTTAGAGGAGGGTTCATACTGGAAGAGGAGTGGGTTTACATACCTGTGACTCCCATGTTTATCATCCCCTTTCTATTTTAAACAAACTGAAATGTACCAAAAGGACAAAAAAACAACACGAACAACAACAACAACAACAAAAAAAACCCCAAAAAACTCTGGGGTTGGTCAGTGAATTGAATTATCTTCCAGGTTGGAATTATTCTCAACAAAATGTTTACTACTACCACATTTTGTTATCTTTAAATTTGCCAAGAAACGCTTCCCTGGAAATGGGAAAACTCCTATTCTGCACAGATGAAGCAGAGCTTTGTTAATATTTACCCCTTCCAAGTAACTCCTTGCCTGCATCAGGGGCATCGCAGACATCACGTTAGACACTGAGGCTGCCACCCCTTCCTTTTCTTTTCGACTCAAGAAAGCYGCCTTCTTCAGAGCAGCACTTAAGTAAATGTTTAAGTGCCTTCTTGAATCAGAACCAAAGCTGTCACTCTCTAGGTGATAAATATCTAAGTGATAAATATTTAAACTTATTTTTTTCTCTTCTCCTCTTCCTTTTTTTTTTCTCTTGTTTTGTTTTATTCTCATCACTGTGTCCTCTCCATTGCTTTATAAAACACAAAACAGAGCGAAATATCACCCACCAAATCTCCCTCCTATCGGATAAGTTATCTGAAGTTGAATTTGCTCACATAATAAACGCAAGCCCATTCATTTTCCCCCTGTAGTTTACATGAACAGCAAACTCTGCCTCGTTTCACTTCTTGCTCTCTGTTTCTAATTCAACATATTCTCTTCTTTACAGTTTCAGATGTCCACTTTGGATTTCCGTTAGGATCACATGGGTAAAGACGACCCAACTTGCAAACTCTTCTGTAAGAGCTGAAAGAGCTTTTTATCTGAGCAGATGCTCCAACAATCATTATCCCATAATACTTGTTTTCAATGATGTTCCTCTAATTGGTTTGCAAGGCACAAACTCATTGCAGACTTGGCTTAATATAATGTGTGTGAAAGAATTCAAAAATAAGTAAATAAGATGAACGAGAATCTCTCCTCCAGGTTGTCTTGACAGGGATTTCTGAAGGTAGAAGAACTTTTACATGCCTATTAAACATCTAAACATCTGAAATTCTGCCTCTAGTGTCCAGTGAATCTCATTCCCAAGCGTGAAGTAGGAAATATTTTCAAAAATATCCGGCATTACCACAGTATCATTTACAYTCTCATGTGGTTTTAGATGGCCAAGGGGATGCAGAGATTATCAAACCTGAACAGTTAGAAAACCCATCTCAAGCAACCTGTGCAGCAGACAAATGGTCCACCATTAATTCTCATTCTGGAGACAGGCTCCATGTATTTCATACCTGATATGCCTTTTCTTTGGACTGCAATATTGGAGAGAACACCTCAGTTCTACCGCCCGACCTCAAACGYAGCTCAGCACACAAAACCCCAGCTACAGCTGGAGAAATTATGGCTTGGGAATGGTAAGAAGAATCACTATAAAGCATTTAATTCCCTACGTAACAAAAAGTTTAAACATCACCCTTAGCATTTTTTAAGCAAGAACTCACCATTTTCAATCATGTTTCTAGTTACCTTGATCAAGAGGCACTTTCTTGTCTGCTTTGATGGTCAGAAATTTGGCAAGACTATGGGTAAAGTGAATAGGGTACAAGAGCTTGGGTCCTGGGATATATTAAGTGCAGCCTGATGTCCTGGGCTACGTATCACTCATATGCAGTAATTGTATATAATCTTATCTCTAAGGAAAAAAAAAAAAAAAGGTGCATAACCATCTTCATGCAGCGTGTGTGCTTTTAATTTACTGGCACAGACGGTATTTACCACTAGGCAGTTCAAAATGTATTCTCAATAAAACACTTCTATTTATTCACTTATACGTGGGGTTGAAATTAAAAGTCCTATCAATCTTGCAAAACCAGAAAAAAGGAATCTCAGACAGATATATATAAACATATATATATAAAATGGAGAGATTTATTTTCCATATTTAGAGATTCTAATCTTTTCAGGTTTTAAACTACCTATCTGAAGATGATCGGCAGGGTTTTCATAAATCTAATAAACAAGAAAAATGACATACAAGTTATTTGTCTCCTTACCAGTGGGTCTGTTCATTGGAGGATAACCACTCATATCTAGCTTTCTACATTCATTAATTAAACCAGAGAGCCATGAAACTCAGGATAGATCTTCAGCAGAAAAATAAGTGCATTTTTAATATAAGACCATGAACCCAATTTTCTGAATATCAATTTCCAATAGAAGCAAAATGCAGAACTAATTCTGCTACCGACCCAGAGGTGAAAACTACTTTGCACAACTATGGCTACCAAAGGGCAGAAGTTATTTCAACTATCTTAGAAGAGCACTAGTTTAAGACCAGTATTTTCCATTTTCAGTCTCTTTTTCCCCCTTTTCTTTCTTGTGTTGTTCRAATGTCTTGTTCTAATTCAATCCACTTAGAATCAAAGCTTACCTAGGAGCAAGAGTCTGTTTGGCAGGAACAGAGGTCAGCCTGAAATCAGAGATATATGGAAGATCAAGAGTTCTTTCCTGAAGAGCTGCAGGAGCTCTGGAAAGGTTTCTGAATTTAATGACCTCAGTCATGGTAACTCTGAAAAATAAAACAACAAAACAGGAATAATTGCAGAGCAGATTCATGATACTGTACCAMAACTGTATTTTAAAAATTGTACTGATGCTGTAATGCACGTAGGGAGTAAATATCCACGTTCTGAAATAGGTGCCTGTGTGAGCCATCCATCTCTAAAAATAAAAGGAATAACTTATTCCTTTTATAAGGGACTCTCACTGTAAATGAATGTCATATACATATTTTGTTTACAATTCAAACCTGCCCTCGCAAGCTCTGAAAACTGGGGCTGCTAGTGGCACAGCTGCAAYAAGCTGAAACCTCTATCTTAAGCGCAAATACCTTTCTTAATGGCATCACACCTGGAGAAAACAGCTGGCTGTGAAGCACTTTGGAATAGGCACTAATATGTTTACAATCTCAGCCAACCGGCAGTTGAAACACCCTGCTTTTACTCATTGCACCAAGCAATGATCTTATTTAAATCTGTGTAAGAAGTGAGAGATTCTACTTTTAGTGTGGGTAACCAATAAATTGCTTGTAGGGTAAAATAAAAAAAAAAAAGGAAGCCTCTGAACAATTGCTGTATCTAAGTAAAGATTATGGCTCAAATTAGGTTCCTTTCATAACAAACAAGCAGTATAAGATTTTTGGTGTTTCTGATTGAAAGCTTTGTTTAAAAAGTGGTACATGATTCCTAATTACGGTGATTATACAAATTAGTATAATAAATCCTATTAGGCAAAAAAAAAGGGCAGAGTGTTCTGTTTTTTTAAAATCCAATTTAGTCTAAAGAATGGGAAAACTCATCTTTTGTCTTGGAGAAACTCAGGAAAAAAAACCTGAATTCCGATTAGGAGAGAGAAGTAGGCTGAAACTAAGGGAAGAACAATTCATTCGCCAAGACCAGAGATTTCTGGAAAACAGCATTTCCTCTCTTTTTTGGGGAATTGAATTATGCTGACAGTTAGAATGAAAAGAGGATAATTAAAGAAAAGTGTTTGGTTGGAGAAATGCTTTAGGAATCCCTCGAAAGAGCGGCCGAGGCCGCTGTCTCCAGCTCCTAGGTGCTCCAGCTCTAAACATTTGCTTCTCCACCACCACCAGCGCCGTATGTAGATGCACAAAGTTAGAGGACCAGCTSCTGTTTTATTCAACATCGTGCCCTTCTCTTCCTCCCCAAGCTCTCCCCAGACCATATTGATTCAGGCTGTGCATAATTAGTGCTGACTCGGGTTAAAGAGCCTCAAAAAACCCACGCATTTTATATCTTGCAACGAAAGGGCGAACCTGAAGACCAGCATGATTAGTCCTGCAGCAACATCAAAGCAAAGAAGAGACTTCTGCAAATATTTAAGCTTTAAAGTTGGGTGTGAATCAAACATGAACGTGAAGCAAGCACATCTGTATGTCTCTTAGTGTCTAAAATCATTATCAGAAATATGTAGCGGCTCGAAATAATTGATTATCTTGGGGAAGRGTCCTTGGAGCAAGGACAATTCACCCTTTTCAGCTCCAAAACCGCTTAGTCAGACAAAAAAAATGGAAGCAGAAAGTCACACTTAAACACTAAACCCAGCAGGTAAAAGCCCAACACACAGAGATCCGTTCTTTCATGCTTTGATTTTTCTAGCAAAGATGGAGTTAGAAGCACCTCTTATCCTAATTGCACTGACGAAGGGATGGCAGGGAATACATCTGTTCTGGTAGCTACGCAGCAAATATAATGGACCTAGGCGCACTGATGTGTAGGTCTAGACTTACCTCCCGCCTAGCAGAGTTATCCGGGTTTCACCCAGGATCCTTCCAGCAGGAAGCAAAGGAAACCAGTAGAACTGGTTCCAATCTGGTTTGAAGAGTTGCTTCATGACAATTGCACCATCATAAGCAATTGTTTTAGGAATTTAGAGCTGGCAGCTTGATTTCTCTATTTGGAAGAGAGAGAACTTTCTTTTTTCAAAGGAGAACTTTCTTCCCTCGTCCTCTTTCCGAAGGGCCTCCTCTCCTTGCAGCCACCTCTGAATTTCCTGTCCTAAACCTCTCCATTTCTTTCATTCAGCTACTGTTCCACTTATGTTTTTCTCCATTATGTGAGAAATTTGTTTTTTAAATTTTACTCAATTTATATTCTTACATGAATATCTTGCATGAATTACATTCATAAAATTCACATTTTGAACAAAATACAGCAATGGAGTGTAGTCCTGCACAGAATTTCTCCTTTTAGAGTCTGAGTAAAGAAGACATATTGGAGAAAGAACCAAGTGGGCTTTCATAATTCCTAAAATATAGGTGATGACAACTGAAAGAAAAGAAAAACTTCAGCAATCTGGAGGAGAAACTTGGTCTGGTTAACTAACTGCTCCCGGACACCCCGAGCTTGTCACCATAATAGGGGCTCTCTGTATATAATTCCTATGAATCTTCAGAGTTTTATTATCCTGGGCTCTTTCGGTGGCACTAACTGTTCACAAACTCCAGATTTGAAATATTACCACTAAGCTTATTTAGGGGTAAGGATCAGCAGCAGTTCCCCTTCTTCTCCATCCTCCTTTCTGCTTTTGTGYGGTTACTGTGGATGCTCTCCGGAGTATTAAATGAGAGGAAGGCATTATGGTTTTTAACTTTGATGCCCCATTAAGATGAATATGCACGTAATGAACTGAGAAATAACCATTTCTGCCTTTTTTTTTTTGCTTTGCATACCGTACAAGACTAGCTAATCAGGACAGGGCCATGTTCTTTGTGCTCTTAACCCAAAAGCCATGAAATCTGGAAGATCACTTTCAAACATACGTTTAATGCAGAAACAATAAACGCAATAATAGACCCTGCTATGAAAAAGGACTAAAAGGGCATTCCTCTTTTTTCTTTTTTATTACTTTTTATTAGAAGCAGTGTAGTTAACTATCCCTTGCAGGTCTGATAGTGTTGGGGATAAAACTCAGTGGATATTACTTGTTAGACAGATGTCCCTATCAAAATTGTCAGTGTTTTAACATCTTCAGACAAAACAGCAAAAGGAGCAGCACAACCACCATTGAAAATGCTAATTATATTGAAAGCACAGTAGTTTTCCTTTAGCAATGTGATCTGAACTCTACCAAAACCCTTTAATGCAGTGACTTAAGCCTGCCGGAATTTAAAGTATGTCCTTGTTTCTTAGGTCAGGTTCTGTGAGGATGAAATGGCATTTAGTGACACAACAGGAGAAACTGAAGCCAATTATATTCCAGAGCTGTTTGCCAATATTCCCTACGTGCCAACTGGAGTGAGGCAGGTCTTCTTCATCCTGCAACACGCGAGTGTGGATATGAAGCTGGGTTTTCCCCTAGGGAAATCCTGTAACATACAGCCGACAGAGCAAGAGGCAACTCTGAAAGTAACAAATTAAGAACCTCATAAATACACTGCAAATAAAGAACATGGGAATTTAGGTATTTTGCATCTTTAGGACAAAACACAAGTTTGTTTTTCTTTCCAAGGGATCTTAGCGGAAAGGTCTGACTTGATCAAAGGAGCGTGCAGGCCCCTGCACACCCATGGCCAAGGTCCATGTCCTGGAGCTTCTTGGTCTCCCATTAGTCCCACACTTTGTCCTGTAAATTCACCCAGGTGACTTAAACTCTGCCCTTCTTGRGCATTTTTAACTAGTTCCACTGTGCTGGCTCTTCTCTCTTACTTACATATATGTYGGCCCTACAGATTTTGAATTCAGTGTGGAGGGATCACTGCAGCRTCACTCCTCTTGCTCCACAGCAGCAGAGTGAAAGCAAGCAAGTCTGCTCGTTGACATTTTCCCAATTACTTGTCAAAATATCTCCTTCCTACAGCAGGAATCAAAAGGAAAGACCACAATGGAACCTGAAGAGAGGAAACGGGGTATTACCTAGACAGAAAATGCCACACAGAAGGAAGTGGTGAGGAGGAAGGAAACATCTTCARGATGACGTTTAAGCTGTGGTTCTTCTCTGCAGAGCAGATCTAGAAAAACCTGCACTTTCATACAAGCAAAGAGCACCCTGTGTGTGCTTAGAGTCCCATCAGCCGACTGCAGTGGGAAAATTAAACATTTTTTCCTCCTAAGCCAGACTTCTAAAATATACTAGGTTTTATAAATTGGCTTAGCATATTAAAATAAATCAACAAATAAATCAGGACTATGAAAAAAGCAGGTTCTGAAAAAAAAAAATTACTTCAAGCTGTCATTGTTATGAACTTGCACAGGCAAATTTGCCACTATGGATGTAAGAAATGGTGCTTTGCGTTGGGCAGAGCTGAGCTCAGCCAATGCAATTTAGAAAATATCCACTGGAAGATGATCGCTTTATCACTCTCCTGCTCCTACCCAACAGATCAGGAGGCATAATTGCCTTACGCTGCTTTATAATGGACATTAGACCAGATGCATCTGTGTTAACATGTAATGGGTCTCCTAAGTACCTTCAGAGAGCAGCCTTAAATGGTCACCCGCACTCTCCTCTCCCCAATGGTTCACTACAAATCATCTCAGGGCAAAGAAAAAAAAGGCAGCAAAAATATAAAKGCACCAGGAATTTCTTTCTGACGATGATTTGACACCCTGCTGATGGAAGGAGCTAAGCATATAACCTCATTCAAAAGAGATTCTCTCCAAACACCCGTGAGGATACGGATTCCTGCTAATAGCCGCGCTAGGATGGGTGATAACATTATGGTAGCTGGGAAATGCTCTCTCAATTAATTTCCCATTGTTAAGGCCATTATCACTGGATGCCATCTAGCAAAATGGAAGCAACAACAAAAAAAAAAAAGGGGGGAAAAAAACCCCCAACGAACCCAGAAGCCTTCAGTATCTTTGAAGGTTTCACTCACTCAGTGCATGATGTAATTGCAGCACATGGCTCAAACAGAGCTTTAATGATATTGATTTAAAAGCACCGACAGACAGATTTCCTTTAAATAAAGGAAAGCATAGGAGAGGGAAAAAGAAAAGCAGTACATGGGGTATAAGGAAAGAG